AATTATCTTCAGATATTATATAACATTTTAATATAATGCATGACTTAATAACATAAAAATAAAAATCTATTCTATTAATTCATTATACATTATATCAAATTGTATGTAATGTTTGAATATATATACAAATTCATAAACAATATTAAACACTTATATAGTAATTTTAACACGTTTGCCCCTAAATCAACAAACTGTTGTATGATTTAAGCACCCGTTATTAGATTTAATCTACGTGGAGTATTTCAGAAAAGTTAGATACGATCTTAAACTAACTAAACGAAAAAAAAAGTTTGCAAATTCGTTAAAAGTAAATTGTTCAACAATGTAATTATACATAGCAATAAAAACGAACCACTTTAGCTGCAACGAACAATGGACTATGGTTCTATTTTTTAAAACGGCCCCAAAAATGGCAGTCTTTGATTTAATCTAGAGGAGATACATTTATAAGAGACGCTAAAATATGAACAAATATGTCACTAGTTATTAAACAGGAAAGTTATGTCTTTTTGATCGAGTTAGGCCATTTCAATTGATATTTTATTGTGTGTCTTTTCATGTTGTATGTTACACCACTGTTTCAGGTTAGGGTGAAGGTTGGCGCCTGTTAAAACGTTTAAACCCGCTGCATTTTTATTATATTGTCTTAAGTCAGGAGCCTGTTGTTCAGTGGTTGTCGTTTGTTGGTGTGGTTCGTAAGTGTTTCTCCTTTCTCGTTATTTATATAGATTAGACCGTGGGGTTTCCTGTTTGAATTGTTTTACACTGGTCATTTTGGGGCCCTTTATAGCTTGCTGTTCGATGTGAGCCAAGGCTCCGTGATGAAGGCCGTACTTTTACCTTTAATTGTTTACTTTTTACACATTGTGACTTGGATGGATAGTTGTCTCATTGGCACTCATACCACATCTTCTTATTTATAAGTTATGATTTTTGTTGTGAATCTGAGGTCTAAAAGTGCAGTCTGTATTTGATCGATCCCACCTTTGATAAACTAGGAGTTATTTACTAATGACATACTGTACCACTTGAACACAATCTGTTTATAGAAATACTCTCAACGATTCTGTCACTCAATATTAGTTATAAACTTGAAATGAGATGACAGTACATGCATTGATTCTTACTAGAAGCTATTGATATGCTTTATAGTCTTATCGGATAACTATACCCATCGTATCTACTTGTTTATAAGTAGAAACTATAGATTTTGGCTTATAATACACTTGTAGATCAAATGAATTCTTGACGCATTATCAACAAGTTCTGGACAGGAGTGTCATACAGAAGTACTATGTTAAGTGCAGATTAAAATAATTGGAATTTATACAATATTGCTACGGATGCACTTTTTGCAATAATGTGAAAAAAATAAGATAAATAAATTAATAGCATATAAAACATAATAAGTTAATATCATATAGAAAAATAAGTTAATAGCATATGGGAAAATAAGTTAATAGCATATGGGAAAATAAGTTAATAGCATATAGAAAAATAAGAATATGTGGTATGATTGATAATGAGACAATTTTCCACCATAGACCAAAGACTTAGAAGTTATCAACCATAGGTCAACATACGGCCATCAACAATAGGCAAAACTCATACTGCATATGAAGTTATAAAAGGTCCCGAAATGACAAATGTAAAACAATTCAAACGAAAAAAAAACTAACGGCTTAATTTATAAAAAACAATAAAAGAAAAAAAAAGAAAAAAATATACAGCAACAAACGATAACCGCTAAACCACAGGCTCTCGGCGTATATATCCGGATACAGTAATTCCCGTACATTCGGACATTACATTGTCGATTGCAAACTTGTTCGAAACATTTTATATACGACGTTTATATAAGGCAGTTCAAATTACATAAATCATTAATTCAAGCAATTAAGGAATAAAGTTTCCTTAGTTATTGAAATTAATTGTAAGCAGAGCTTAACGATGTTCTGATTGTATATTTGTTTTCTACTTGAGATAGAAATCTTGGAATCGCGATGCTAAAAATCAGGCTAATAACCAAACAGAAGGAGTATTTGACGGTCGTGTGATTTTAGCTGTAATTAGAATCAAAGAATCATTAGTAGTAGATTACATACGCAATCAATTTGTCCTTTTCCATATAGAATTACGATGAAGATGGAAACAGTAGATTGCTGATTGACAAACCACACTTAATGATTTACTTTTGTCTTAATTTCTCACAGAGTCCCCAGTGATTAGGTTAAATAATCAATCTCAATGTTTGTCTAAATATTTTGTGTTGCAATGCTCTGAGTTGAATATGTGTTGTTAATGCTTTGAAATATGAATACTAAAGCAGGCTTTTATGATGTACGCAATTCTGTCCGTCTTTTAGAACAATAAAAACGTTAACTGATATACTGGTAGATTTCACGGATGTTTTAAACTTCTTGTAACCATGAAGACATGGCTGGATTCTATAATATGACCACACATACCTGTACGTCCATCGTCCGACAGAATATTGTTTAGAAAGGGCACACCTTGGCGGCGCGGAATGTTCGAAAATACTATGAGGTGATCAAGTCTTACTAATAATCAAGACACGGATATTGTATATTGTATTTTGATCTCTCCGTCCGAAAGAGACCCAGATGGTCTGTTCTAGAACTGATGTAAAAACACTTTAAACTCTGCCGAAGATGTACGTTTAAGGTTTTGAATTATTCTTTGTCGGTCTTCTAACATTTCGTCCCTTTCCCTAAATAAACCCACTTTCTAAACTCAAAGGAGAAGGTCCGGTAAGGGCTTATTTTGGCCTAAAATTTGAAGTATATCTGATGAAAGATTTTTTGACATTTTTAAACACTTAAGTGTCTACTTCAGTCGATTCAATTAGTTTTTTGTAAAAGATTTGAACTGATTTGGTCATTAAAGACGCTCAAATTCAAGCTTAAACATGAAAAATCTATCAAATAAGTCATAAAACGTCACTTTTCAGATGGTTTTTGTCTAAAATTAAAGTGGCCGCATTCGTGTTCAGTCTCAACCTTTATATATGTTACGTAATATCATTAAGTACAACATATATTTAAATATTAAGACTGAACACAAGTGCGGCCACTTCCATTTTATACGAAAACCGTGTAAAAATTAGCACTTATGTTAAAATTGTGAAGAATTCAGGAATTGTGCATGAATTAATGGTGCTATTACCCGATTCATGTGAATTGTATTGTCAAAAAACAGCCAATATTTATGTAGCAAAAATATTCTACTTTCCAATAAATAGCTAAAAGTAAACATTTAATTTTTATTGCTACGACTCACTTCAAAGAAAATCGTACGAAAAAAAAAACTTGTAAGTAATGACCATTTCAGTACGTGTATAACATATTATCAGTTTTAGTCGCAAGATTTTGTGTGTGAAAAGAGCCCCTGCATTGGCGTTAGGCAAATAGATAACAACACTTATCATTGATGGAATGAGGAGCACATGCTGTTATAGTCCAGCCATAAGAACAACTACTGAAAACAATCGGTTTATATATATAAAGTGTAGGACATCATGAATTCATATCAGCAGGCTAAATACTTTGGGATTCCGTTAAGTAACTGCGAGCATTGTTTGATTGGGTAAATATTGTTGTGTTTGAAATTTGTACTTGTGTTTTTGTCAATTATTATTGTACTTTACTTTGGAGTTTTTAATGGTTTTGACAATACGTTCTTTTTCTGTTACATTTTAAGTCTACTGATCGAGATTGAAAGAGGGACTGGTGATATTTTGAGAATAAGTTTAACCAAGCAACAAGATTTTTAAGTGCCTGTCCAAAGTCTGAATTAAACCTCGTCAGTGTATTTTTTGTGTCATATGCCAATATCTTTAGTTATGTGGAAAACGTATTGTTTAAGGCAAATCTTTGATTTTTTTTTGATTAATTTATTCACAACTTTTGTTAAGTTTCTGGACAGATTGTTGTAAGGAGCAGGTCTGGTAAGAGTCATTGTTGGTCTCTGAAATGTCCAAATAGTTACATTGTATGTTCTTTTACAATGCACATTGCATTGAGAAAAGAAAGGGGAAATATAGTCTGGGTATGCAAGAGCGGACAAGTCAATTGTGAAGTCACTTGGACATTATATTTTGAATAGTGGTTTTATTAAATTAAATGTGAGCAACAGTCTGACCTAACATAGTATGTTAATTACTCGCATGAACACTAGTAGATTGTAAATTTCAACTTTGAGCAAAATATCGTTATGATCATTCGTGGTTTGGAAAAGCGATTCGTGAGCAGCAAATTCGGTGTGTTTATTTTCAATTTGTGTATATATTACAGAACGGTTCTGGTTTAACATACATGTATATAGGAGATCCAGGTGAAGATTTGTTCTGGTACTTGCATATTTACAGAAATAGATTGTGTCATACTGTATAATACATTATGGTATATTGTGTGCATTCTATTTGAAAACGCAGATCTAGTTGTCAGTTTGGTAGCCTATATTTTACTCCACTGAAGATCACATTACATGAACGTCTTTTTATTCAGTTTAGGTCAATTGGTCCTTAATATCCCCAATCTGTGTGAATTACACATTTCTTAAGACAGAAAATCAGTAGCAAGTTGACATGTCTTTGCTACGGAAGATTTTTCTGAAGGTAATTGCTAAGTTTGTCTATGCAATTACTGTAAGATAAGATGAATTACCAACGATTGTCTATGGTGCATGACTTATGTCATGCTATGAAGGTTACAATGATTACGTTCGTGCTTTGTATAGAAACTTTTAATAAAAAGTAATAATAAAAAGAATACCAAAGGCAATAACAAAAAAGTATTTACAGAAATACCGAGCTCCAAGGTGAATTCAAAAGGGGAAAGACTTTAACTTTACCATTAAAGTCTCTGAAGAATCAGAAGAAAAAAAACAATGATGCTCTCTCTTTGGTAAAATGTTCTATTTAGTGTTTGCAAATTCATGTCAAAATGATTAATAATTAATCTTTAATCATACAATTTCAGAAGCAGACCTATCAACATGTCTAAATCAGTTGGGTCGGGAGTATGTAAAGTTATGTCTGACAGAATACGGCAAAGCTCTTGGCATGATGGGAAGTAATATGGTGGAATTTTTCAGTAACTTAGATGGATTACATGAGGAAATTTGTAAAGCCCCGCAGTTCAAGAATCAAACCCCACCTTCATTTCGATGTGAAAATAAATTGAACAATGTCGATATGCATTTTTATTCTGACAAGCGTCGTCTGTTATCTTATTATGCAGGAATTGTTCAAGAAATAGCTGAACTTTTATGTCAAGTGCAGATTGACTTAGTTATTCAGCCAAGCGAATCGCCTTCCGGAATTCATCATGTCTTTCATATAAATTCTTCACAACAACGCAACAGTAACAATAACTGCACGATATGTGTTCATCAATCGACATATTCGAGCAAACCGTCCGATTTAAAGATTGGGGTATCCACTTTTTGTGAGGCTTGCCCTTTTCATGTGATAATAGACAGAAATCTAAAAATAGTACAGCTTGGAAAATCTCTCATGAAAGTCATAGTCTGTGACATTCAAACAAAAGGTTTGAACTTTGAAACCTACTTCAGCATTACTAGACCTAAGCTAGACCAAATAACATTCTCAGCACTACTTTCAAGGGTGAATTTCTCATTTGTATTGGAGAGTAAATGCGGATCAAAGTTGCAGCAGGTAGGTTAACAACTGACTACCAGTTATCTTTATATTTTTTTACAGTTTATATTTTTCATGTTGTACAAACATGTACATCAAAACAAAATTGCATCGTGTACTTTAACTAGAAAGATGACTCAAAATATGACAATTATTAAGTTTGTTTAGAGGTTAAATACATTCATACTTTGCCAGTTTTTATAAATTTTAGTATCTCTTAAACGTCATTCACATGAATAGTGAATTAAAAAGCTAATTTAACTGGTGCTAATGTTAAGCCTTGTTATAACCTATGTATGATATGTGTCTATTTCATTACTAATGTCAGCCATGTATCCTTTGCAACCGTTCCGCATCACATTTAATCCTATTACATCATCTATTAAGCCTTTTATATTAGGAATATTAATATCCAAACCAGCTGGGGTTTCCGTCTTTTATTGATTTTTATCAATGAAATTTGATACTTACTTTTCGGTTCAACCTCGTAAATACTGCGAGGAAGGTTGATTCATGTCTTGTGATCGTACTGACTAACAGTAAAGACACATAGTTCATCATGTCACCACGTGCAGTTTTTGTCCTCTTCATAATGCCATTTGTCTGAGTTATACCATCTATGTAGAATTAATTTATATGTCATAATTCTTCAAATGTAGCAATCATCTCTTCTAACGCAAATCGTGATGATTTTTGGTTTTCTATAGAATCTTGTCAAAAAATAGTTATAACCTCGGCATTCCCGTAGTAGTATAACAACGATAATCAATACACACTTGAATGTAGTTCTTATATTTGACAATCATTCAAAGAATAAGTTTGTAAAAAAAAAATAAACAGAGACACCAATTTTACTGCACCCAATGTGCATTTGAACAATAAATGTTTTTTCGGTGATGCTCGAGATTAAAATATTGTAAAGTGCATATCAAAGTATCAAATAATATAAGTTAATAAATGTTGGTAACAGCGGTTCCTCTTCCTCCAGTATGAGCTGACCTTATACAGTATTTGGTTCATTTTGTTATTCTTTTTAGATTTGTAACTCCCAATGCATTTATTCTAAACACAATTTTCCACTTTTGGCTCAGAGCATTGTTGGTCCAGAAAACCGATTCAATATGATTGATTTCAGTTTGGGTACATATCACTGGAAGGTATTTACATCTCTGTCAGGACTTACTTTGACAAACATACCCTTTCAGCGATGATCAAATTCAAAATATTTTCGAATTTGAGACCTTAAAGGAAAGATGGTGAAATTAATGGATAAAAAATAAAGCCAACGCTGGCCTTATAATAGACATTGCTTTACATGATGTATGATTGACATTTTTTCAAACAAATTTCTTGATTTGGCCATTGCTAAGTTTCCTTTTTAACAAGATTTGCCTTTTCATACTTAACAAGTATATGTTAATAATGCTACAGAGGACTGAAAGAAAAGAAAGCATAAATTTCCACAGATATTTATTCAGTACTAAAGCAAATGCATGCTTTTGTCGTACATTTAAAGGAAACTATGAAATGACGAAATTTAGCAATTAGATTGAGGCAATGTTAGATCATTATGGTAAACAATGATTATCAAGACAGTATGGGCTCTATGTTTGGTCTATCAAATTATTTATCTTTTCATTTCGGTGTCAGATTACAAAATATTTTGGATTTGATCATCATTAAAGCGATATATTTTGTCAAAATTGGTTTCATTTAAGCAAATGCCTCTTATGTCTAAACATTTGTGTCAAATATTTATAGAGAACGTTTGTCAACTGGCGATTTTGTTATTTATTGTATTTATTGTTTACCCTAGATCGACTGTTAACAATATATTTACAATATTTCGTTTCTGATTTATTTGTATGGACTTTAGGATAATGTATTTAACTTCTTGCATTATCTGTTTATTCTCATTCCATATTTTCCTGAGCCTATTAATGAATTGGTAAAGTATACATTGTATTTAAGCTTTCTCGTAATTGTCCAATTACAGCACATGCAATTGAAAGGACAAATGATATACCTTCAAGAATCAGACAGCATCTTATTTCTTGGTTCTCCCAGCATTGAGAAAATAGACGAACTAATAGCACGTGGTCTTTATATATCTGATCTTCCAATTCATGATGCAACGCGGGATCTTATTCTTGTCGGTGAACAGACAAAAGCACAGGTAACATAACGTTAACATATTTTATAAGAGAGCAGACAAAGTAAGAACGGGATTATTATTATGAAACGTGAACAGTTTGAAAACAAACTGACAACGTCATGAGAAAAAAACAAAAACGACCAAAAGACAAACAACAGTATACAGAAAACTAAAGACTGAGCAATGAGAACCCCACCAAACACCGGGAGGATTTCAGGTGCCACGGAAGGGTAAGCTGATCCTGCTCCATATGTGGCAAACGTTGTGTTGCTCATGTTAGTTCACACCCTGGGTCTGATTCGGTATGTCATATACGAGGAAAAGAAGACGGATTGTGTAAACGACAATTGGAACATATCCATCGTCATCTGTAAAACAAATTTTCGTTAACGGTCAACCAACCCTTGATGGCGTCCGTGCAGAGTTTAAAGTCAGATATCATATCATATCTACTCCGCAATAAGCGTAAATACCACCTTGCGCTCTGGTCTAATGTTGAATACTTTATAATCAAAAATATCTTCCATCATGTCTACTTCTCCATACTGCGATGATCCAACTCAAATAAGTTAAGTTTTATTAGACTAAACTTCAACGTTATGTTAGTAAGAAGGTTACCATTGGTCTAACACCATGACGTATTGTTATAAGAACTGTCAACATGCTATAGGGCATTAATTTCACAGACTGAAAATCACATGTTATTGTATATCACAACGTCGAATTTTAAATTTCCGGTTCAATGACGTTTCCTGTATTCTTTAGATAACAATACAGACATTTATGTCATTTGTTTATATTATTGCTGTGTTCAGTTATATTACGAAATGCTTAGACATAAAACATAAGAAGTGAAGTACACATTGTATCTTTATAGATGGGAAAATTGATTTTAGATTCAAATTTAATCTGTTCATACTGCTATAGTTCATTCACCTAATAATATGTCTTTTACAAATTTATAAAACAAATGCCACTTGAAGCATATAAAATATGTCCCTGTCTTTAAACGAGAATATTGCACCTTTAAATCTATCGAGTGCAGTATAATAAAAGCCTTTTTGACCAATTCCTGAATGGAAATGTAACATTATTGTATAAAGAACTCTCAACACGCCATATCACCATTAAAACTTTAATACTATGTTATTATCCATAAAATATCTTTAGATTGTTTATGGCTTGTACAGATGATACATAATGTAACTAACTTTTCCTTTCTAATTCAAAAAAACATTCATCAACTCTTCATTAATGCATCTTAGGGAATGGCTTCGACATTTGTAGATACAGATATACACATTCTATAAAAGCTAATTTTATTCCATTTCCGTCCATACGTTCCCCGTTCAACGTGACTGCATATCTATATCTTTTCATTACTTCACAGTTCTTCGTCCATTTTAAGTAGAAGTATGTACAATTTTCATATCCTTCACAGTGCTTCGTATTTTTAATCAAAGTCGTTCCAAGCTCCTCGTCTATTTACTTTCAATCCTTCTAAACACATTGTATATCACGTCTGTAGCCCTTGCTGTTGACAGATGTGACAAATGTCCCGAGTGTATATCACGTCTGTAGTCCTTGCTGTTGACAGGTGTGACAAATGTCCCGAGTTAAAATATACCACCTTTCAGTGTTATTGCTCTATTAACGACATTATATGATAAAGGTAGAGATAGAAATATCGCCTTACATTATTGTTTTTACGAGAAACATTATACTACAGACAGGACGCTGATATAACGAATGTAAAAGATTTTGAAAGTATTCGTCTTACGTTATTATTTTTACGAGAAACATTATACTACAATAAGGACGCTGATATAACGAATATAAACGATTTTGAAAGTATTCGTCTTACATTATTGTTTTTACGAGAAACATTATACTACAGTAAGGACGCTGATATAACGAAAAGATTTGGAAGGTATTCTGATGTCTGTGATTTTTAAACCGAGTATAAGTAACTTTTATGTTAAAGCAATCTTTTGTTTCATTTGTTTCATTTTAACATACATTTTTTTTTGTATTCTAGCAAACCATGTTCATATGTATAAAATTTTAGTTTTTTAAAACCAGTTTTATTTTTCAATTGTAAATGTAGGATGGGTTGAAGAAAAGAATGGAACAAATGAAGAGAAGCATTATAGAAGGAACTGAAGCTGTAGAAGCAGAGAAAAAGAAAAACGTCGAACTCTTACACATGATATTTCCGGAAAAGCTTGCTTCTAGGCTGTGGAGAGGTATTAACTTACATTCGATTGAATGCATTGAAATCGAAAAAAAGGGGTCTCATCTGCTCAGAGTTGAAATTATTGTCAAATTTGGTGATTTTATAATAAAAATTCAATTCATTAATCAGTGGTGTAAATTTTATATTGACGTTGGCAATGTTGCTTGAGGAATAGTATGTTTTACTTCTTATGAAACAAGTGTCGCTGGAGTGGTGACAAATGCATGATATCGTTGGTTTTACAATAAGTGATTTATTTTTGTCGAGACGATTAGGCAAAATATATCAACTAAGTTAAATAAAGAAAATCGACGAAATTATCATGGTTTTCAATGATATCATTCGCTTTACAGTTAATAATTTATCGTAAGCTAATCATTAAATATTTTCACTTCTCGATGAAATCGTCGAAGTTGCAATAATTGATTTACTTTTTAAAAGACAAGATAAACATTGAGGATAATGAGGTGAATAAGTTATTCAGTGATCTAGTTGTTTTCACATGAATAGATTTGTTTCAGGCAAGACATAAGAGATGATGAAGGATCGATTAATTCACCTTATCGATATTCATGGATATTGTTGTTGAACAGCTATTGATTTATTTAACACAATTAAAAAAAAACGATCATCGTCTGATTGAATAAAAGTTAGCTTTACAATAACCAATATATTAAAGACGACAAAAAAACGATGAGGATTTATAATGTGACCATAATTTGATTGAGTGATATCTTTGATTGATAGCACTTTATATTTTTCAGGCGAAACAATAGAACCGATGAAGATTGATGAAGTGACGATGTTATTCAGCGATATCGTTGGTTTTACTGCTATTTGTTCTTCATGTACTCCGCTCACCGTGATAAATATGCTGAATTCTCTATATACACAATTTGACCATTTCTGTGGAGATCTTGACGTGTACAAGGTAACATCAAATTCTATTTGTCCAGTATATTCCAGTTTCAGGCTATGCTAAACTACTAGTGATAAAGAGTCTAAAACAATACACAAAAAGATTACAGTGGTTAAAAATACAAATTTGAAAGTAAATCCACATGCAAGATCGGATTCAAATGACTTGAAGGCTATTATGTTGCTGGATGAATAGTTATTTGTTTAATGGTCTAAAAAGTTAAATACGTATGTTGAATATCAGTGTTGTGCTATGTTATACCGGTATCTGTTGCTTATGAAAATATGACCACGTGCCTTGAAATGACGATAGTCCTTGAAGTTGTTACAGGTTTGTTTTATTAGATTGAAACAGTTAAAAGGAATATGTAATGCAAGAAAAAAAGAAGAATATAGTTGGCTTGCATACTAAAAGTTATGGTATAAAAGTTGATGATCCCATATTAAAAAAAAGAAATTATTCGATTCAATTTCTTTGATATCAATTCGTTTTATTTGTCATTTGATGCAAGTCACATCCTCTGAAATGGTGAAAGTCAAATCTGGAGGAAAGAAATGTGTTGAAACATTGTTTGCACGTTCATTTTCTCAAAATCTGTCATGATAATCATTTCCTGAATGAAATAGATTTTAGTCTAAGTAGGCTCTATAGATGGACATAGGATGTTTTGAACTGCATGGTTTGATCTAAAGAAGCTCTACCACATTAGTTACGAAATATGTGTACATTGCCCAAATCAAATAGTAAGAATTGATGCCAAATAGTTAAATTCTCCTATTTATATGATTGATACTGAGTTTCTACATTTGGTTAAGTTTTTTTATTATTGTATTATAAATAATCTTATTTTGTTATTGTCACTCGTGTAACAGAAATCCTTTTCAACAATTTTTCCAGCAGCCATTTCTATGGTAGAAATAACATGATTATAACAAAAATAGTGACAATGTCATCAACCGATTTACTTGACCATAGAAGTAACGAGAAGTGCATCAGTTCATTCCATTACGCCTGATTATCACTATATCTGTCCAATCTAGTTCATCCTAGAGATAGTCCAACACAAAGGTTGTTAATTGCAGTAAATGTTTACATTTTTGTGTTAGAAATATCTAATAATACAATATTTTATGGAAACCTATTACTATTTCACATGACTACTGTTATCTTTTCCTAAATGAATTAACTTGGCTAGCATTAACCTTAATATTCTATACAAAATTAGCTCTATCCAAGTTGATAATCTCAGAAATGAGACGATGTAAAAGCGTTCTAATTGACTTAGAAGTGTATACTTAGACATTTGCATTAACATTTTATTTTAGGGAAACTTTCGAGCGTTTTGCTGCTATTTCTTTTTGTATAGTTCTTTTTGTTTTGTCAGTTTGTTAGGTTTTCTTTCATTCTTTCTTTCTTTCGTTTTCCTTTTTTATATCAGTAGGCAGCTTAACTAGTTAAGTAAGAGAATAGAAAATACTAGAATATATTTATGATGTATACTAGTATTCATTTTTTTTCATTAGTACAAGTATTGACATTTTCTATCCTAATAATTTTTCGTGCTGAGGTTTAAACATTTCTGCCTTTTAAACCCATTTAAACATTTGAAAATGTACTGTTTACTAAATTTCACTGACTTCGAATGCTCACTAAGCCATTGAAAATGATATCAATCCGAATGTAAATGTATAATTATGCCCACGATCGAAGGAGCCGTTATGCTGTTCATAAAAGTTCCATCGCATTTTTAACAGGAGCTTCCTGGAATTTCTTATCAGGTTTTGTGGGAACATGTTCTATCTTATGATGCATTTGTATCATTCAATTTCACAATTACCGAATATTTATATATTCTAACTCAAATGGACATGAATGAAATTAACGTTGCATTTATCTTGGGAACTATCAATTAGAGATTCCTTAAATTTGATAGACTTCATGTGAACATGCTATACCATGTGATGTGTTTTCAGATTCATCGCTACCCAACTTCTTGTTTCCCGAATACTTTTATATTCTAACACACATTGGGCATGCGTTACATTTTCGTCGAACTTTTCTAGAACTTCAAATAAGAGCTTCTTTAATTTTGTTATTAGGCTTTATATAAACATCCAGTACCTTGGGACTAGTTTTCAGATTTATCGATCATGAACTCACTGTTTACCGAATACTTATGTATTCGTAACCATAATTGCCATGTATGAAATTTTTGTCGCAATTCTAAAAATAACTACCAATAAGAGCTTTCTGAAATTTGTATCAGGCTTTGTGTGAACTGCTATAATGTGTTATGCCTTTTCAGATGCATCACTCCTCAACTCGATACTTAAAGCGGGTGTATCATTCGTGAGCAATAACTCACAGTTCTATTTGTTGATTCGATAACAGCAGCAGTTTATAATTTCAAACAGGATGCAACTTAATAAAATTTGCTTTCACCTGACACGTTATTCGGTATAGACATTAACTTCATACCTTCATAATACGAAAGTTTCTCATACGCAATGACATTTTGTTTGTTTCTAACCATGCAAAATCAATTATACAAAAATGATGAAAGCTGTATTTGCTTCTCCTATGACCATGGCGTTGTTAGTTTGTTTTCGATCTATGAGTTTGACTGTCCCTCTGGTATCTTTCGTCCCTCTTTTTCAAATTAACCAGTACGACTATCTGCCCGGAAACTATCTTAGTGAAGTTTGTAATTGTCACTTTATATTGTTTAGGTTCGATTATCTGGGTTATAATTTGGGAAAGAAACTACATTTGTTTTTCGTATTTCCTTCTCATCACCCAGTTTAGATTTATGTCCGATGATTAGTACAGAGATGACTACAAACAACATAACTTATTAAAACAGCAACAAAATTTAACGGACCAAAAGAAAACAAGATTGGTTCAAAACGCACAATGACGTTCTTAAATCAAAATGATATGTGTTTAATACCAGGAAAATTTATGATAAACGGGGAAAAGCAAATGTATGTTATGAAAATAGTTCACTTACTTCTTTTAGCATTAGTTACTACTAAATAAAGTAATAACCTTTCAGAATTTTGGGTCTTTAAATGCTCTTGAATTTTGTACTTTATTGGACCTTTTTAACTTTTTCATTCGAGCGTCACTGATGAGTTATTTGAACACAAAACAATCGTTTCCGTACAAAACTTAAATTTGGTATCTATGATGAGTTTATTTATCAGCTAACAATCTGAATTCGACGCTATACAAGTTCCAAGGTTACCGTCACGGTTCCAAGTTTACCATCACGGTTCCAAGTTTACCATCACGGTTCTAAGGTTACCATCACGGTTTCAAGGTTACCATCATGAATTGGTTAACCAGTACTACGTATCCATGTCTCAACCCTCTAGATACATGTTTTCGTGGTTTCAAAATACCAGCATAGTCGTCTGATGTACATTTACCGATTGTGGTCAATTCCATATTGTGACATTTTGTCTGATTTTATATTCGCATGACGAGCGGTCATGCAAAATAGGAGATATTTACCATGTCAACGTACCCGGTCTTGCTCTTTTGAGGGTCCATTAGATTCCTTTAATTTTGTGTTGTTGTTTTTGTTTGTATATTAACGAATTTATGGAGTTCTGAAGATCGGTAAATCACTGTTGTTGTTTACTTATATCTAGCGACATTTGAAAATCAGCAAACTACAGGCTATATATAAGCCAAACAACATTATGGAATTCATTTTATCGAAAGCACTTTATAGTACTGTACACTGTTGAGGATTGTATTTCTATATCCCTAATGCTTTTCAACTCATTTTCAACTTTTACTTTTGCCATTTGAAATATAATTATTTGCGAGTTTGAAATTTAATTTTCAATTTACATAGATGAAACACATTATTATAATTAGGACTAGTCACTATAAGCGCGTTCATCCAAACAAACTTAATCAGATTCTTAAATTACACACTGAAGATTATTTCTTTTAACTCTCATCAAAGAGTCCAATATCTCGAAATAGTTTCGAGTAGGTGTAATTTTCCAAATTGAAATAGGAAGCACAAATTGATATAATTGACTTTCTGCAAAGCAAGTATCACTGACATTTCTTAATAAAACTAAACTCTCTATACAAGAATAATTTGCTTTTGCCAAATAATTAGGTTTAGAAATTTAAAAAATAGCGTCTAAGAAAAAGAGTTAAATTTTTAATAAAAAAAATTATAAAACCAAGGGTCTGTTACAAATGATAAGTCATAAAGCGGTTGTCTTTATTTTCTGTTTGCAAAAAAATTAAAGCTTATAAATGATATTTAATTAAAAATGTATAAAACCTCAAACGAAGACCGAAATCTTCTTGAATGAACAATGCCATATTCTTAACCTCTAGAATGTGGCTTTGTTTCTGTCATTTAAAATTCTTGACCGGCTAAATATTTCGTTAACTGTAGAATCATTTCCATATTTCCTCAAATAATTTTCTATTTTTTTAGCAAATCTATTACCAGAACGTTATTATTTTGTCAAGTTTTATGAACTTCCCCCTTTTTGAATTTACCTATGAGTTTGGTATGTTACTTGAACTTTTTTGCATGAAATGATAAAAAAATGGAAAATTTTTGCTTTATTTTACTGAAGACTTTTCTAAAAAAAAATATGACCTTTAGTCTCAACCATATAATTACCAACCGAAGACTTAATAAAATATTCTGGTGAACATATGTATTTTCAACGAACTTTATCCTTGCTGAGGTAATGTGTTTCCAAAACCTTCTTACACATGACAACCCCAACTTTAACTTTGGATGTATCCTGCCTCAGAGAACAAGAATATATAAAGATGTTTTTTTTTTCCCTTTGGTTGCTTTCTAAATGAAGTATATTCCACGCGTCCTTTTATTATACATATATGTGTTTTAGGTAGAAACAATTGGAGACGCTTATTGTGTTGCTGGAGGGCTGCATCGTCCTTCCAAATTTCATGCCCAGCAAATAGCTTGGATGGCAATAAGAATGATGGACACTGCCTGTAAAGAAAAATCACATGATGGGAACACGATTAGGGTAAGGATGACACTTTATACAAACTTACAAAAAGATTAACTACCAGTAAGGTAATAAATAACATGTGTTGACATACCACTGAATTTTGTGAGATTGAGAACTAAACTAATTTTTTTCAAGAAGAAGTGAAGTTATTTTCAAAATTATTCACTAGTGAACCCATTTTGAAGTGAACAGCTCTTAAAAGATTGAACAATATTTGTTTAAGTCATATTCAGTATTTCAGTCAATTTTCAGTCGCTTCCACTGCGGTTAATTCAGTACTGTTCATACAATATGCTTACAGTCAATTAAGATCTGTTCAGTTTAAGTTCAGACTGTTAAGTAGCTGTTTTACCTCTACAAAACAACCACATTCTGAATTATCTGAAAAGTCACTAAACTGTACTGGATTGATTGCGAGCAAAATGTCTGAAAAAATACCTGAAAAATAGTTGAAACTCATTACAAGACGTTCTTAGTTTCAAAATTTTCAGATTATGCTTAGATCAAAATGGCCGTTTAAAACTTAGATGAATTTACTAATGAATAAACGTTTATTTTGTGCTATGTAAAGTAATTTAGGTTGATAAACTATAAGTTACAACCCACGAACCTATATCAACTAAATAATGCCTTTCCAGATTTTCTTATTCAACATATGCAAATGATTTTACATAATTTCTAACTAAATTGTGCAATCTGTAAATCTGTTATAATTTTTATATATGTTAACTCGTATTAAAAACCTTTTTTGGAGATGTGTATTACTACTTACTTTCTGTTACTTCTAGTCGGTTGTTACCTTATATTACGTAAAAACTGTAATAAAATGTAACTGGGCAACCAGGATTTCAAGAAACCACAAGGTATATACTTCAATGAAATCTCCATATTTTGGAGTTATTAAAGACTCCAAAGTTCGATTTATCAAATACTTATAACATACTTTTGTATTACTAAAATAATAAATTATATCTAATTTTATTTTTACAGATGCGGATTGGATTACATAGTGGGTCGGTGTTGGCAGGAATTGTTGGTGTACGCATGCCCAGATATTGTTTGTTCGGAAACAATGTGACATTAGCAAACAAATTTGAATCTGGAAGTGAAGCAACCAAAATTAACATTAGTCCTACAACATACAGGTAATTTATGTAACATATTTTATATTACAAAATTAACTAAGCAGATGAAATGATGAAGTTTGTAAGATAGCAACAAAACAATGAGCTGTCAAAATGAATACTAGAATCTTGTGTTCACTGCTTAGCCTTCAGTGCGATATGTATCAAAATAACACCGGATTACCGTTTTCCTTTAGAGTATTCCATTATACTGCCTTTTATCAAGACAATTTGACCTTAAAAGATGACTGAACATAAAGTTTGAAGAAAAATCTATCCACCATAAATACAGAAAATATTCTTATGTCATCGCAATATAATTTTATCTATGAAAAATGCCACCTTTGCTGTTTACACAGTTTACTGTTCTGTAGATGCTTATAATTATTCAAATTCAATTGCAAAAGTTACAAAATCATGGACTGGTCTTAAGATAAGCATGATAGAAGTTTCCGGAAAAATATACAGAAATTTGTTTTAGGAATTACAAAATTGTTTGAAGATACCTTTATATGAACCAACATGTATCATGGAATTTTTAAATGTTTTCTACAATACCGAAACTATATAAAAAAATAAGGAGATGTGGTATGATTGCCAATGATGCAACTATCCACCAAAGTTCAAATGAAGTGGATGTAAGCAATTATAGGCAACCGTAACTTCTATACAATATGTACAACAACGGTTCGGACTAGTTTTTATTGTAGTATGTGTTAGAAATTTCGTAGTACCTTTTTCATCTACATCAAATTCATCAACATTACAATTTATTACGTATCACATCCGCTTGAAAAGTTAATATTATTAGAAAATTAAAAGCTAAAATGAAAGAAGGTTAAAACATACTAATTGAAAAGTACCTAAACAGAGCTGTTAATCGTAATCTATATCATTTCGGAAGCCAGAATGATACTTTCAAATATCAGATAATGTAAGCCATCTGTCTAGTATATTTATTTGCCTAGGATCGAATGTTATTTTAGATCAATTACAATGTAACCAAACCATACAATAATTTCTGAAGATTTTTCTCAATGAAATATTGGAAGCTTGCAAAGCATCTCATCAAAATGCCGACAGTTAAGAAAAATGTTAATTCATTGAAATTTGTATGAATATTTTGGATTAAGAATTCAAGGAATGAAAGTACAATTCCAAGTCGAATTAATATTTCCCTTTAATGCAAGTGCTTTAAATTTAATTGAAGGGTTTTTAGGGTCTGAATATATAACAACGATTCTAAAGGTAAACACTTTAACTTTTTAAGATGAAGGCAAATGATGTGCATTTTTAAACTGCTCTTGACATTTTTTAAAATCTGAATCTGAATGTATTATTCTAGTACTTTAATGAATTGGCCTACAGCTATAGGCTATCCATATCAAAGATTATCAATAATATGTTATAAGTATCGTAGCTACACTCATGTCCTATAGATTGAAATAAACAATTAATTTCCCCATAGGCGACAATGATAGCCTTTTTCGAGATACAGACTTTAGAAAGTTGATTTTTTTAACGAAACCTTGCTAGAATTAAAAAAAAGTTATTAGGACAGTATTTTTTGGTCCAAAAAATATAGGTTCGCGTTGCTTTTCTAAGCGTAATTTGTACTTATCTCCCATGCCTATCAATTTTGCACTAAAAAATACGTGTCTCATCCTAGCTTTTAAAAGACATCTCAGTTCCGTTAGGGCTAAGGAAAATAATTTATTTGGCCTTTGGTATAATGCAGAATGCACGAAGTCTCTAATAACAGAAAATAACGGGCGCACATATCAACCAATCAGGATTAGCTATACTCTTAATTCTGAATACCATGTTATGCTCATAAAATGGCTGCGCTCATAAAATCTAATGGTGTATTGTAACCTATATCCTTCTTAATATGACATCTCCGAATGAGATTTCCCATTGTTTTTTTTTACCTGCCATGAACAACACGACAGGTTTTACTAGTAAGGCAGGATCTGTTTACCCTTCTGAACCACATGATATCACCACTGCTGTTGGTAGGGTACGTGATGTCAGACTTTTATTTGTAGACTTGGTTTTTTTCGTCGTTTTTCTTTTAACCATAGTAGTTTCTGTTATTCTTCAGGTACTATAATTGTCCCCTTGGTATCTTTTGCCTTCTTTTTGTGTGAATCATAATTTGTTATGTATGCATTATTTATATGGAAAACAAGAGAGTTTTAATCAGAGATCAGGAAAGACATTTCCTTCCTGTTTCTATAATCATATCCCTTATTATCCTACAATGATTTACGGAAAAGCCATTATCGTGTCTGTGAATCCGGTTAAAAATCTAAATTCGAAACTTAATTTGAGATCTCATTTACAGTAATTCCTTTAGCTGTAGGAATATTTTGATGGTTCAATTGATTTACAATAGAAAAAAAGTTCAATCTTGCTCGGAATATTTTTTTGCAATCTCTGATGTAATTTAAACTCGTGTACAATTTAATCATAAAAGTATAAAAATGTATTAGCATACCCATGCTACACTATATGAAGAATGACAGTATAATTTTTATCTTATTATCTTTTAATTAATTTTTGTCTAGTCAATTTTCTTTTTTTCACACTGCCACACAACATTCAATAATCCTAATTAATACAATATTAACTGCCAAAGGCATATACCACTTCTTACACTGAAACTGTAATCGGATAGACGAGATATTTTACTTCAGGACTTTCTTTACTCACGATTTTTCCCGCAATTCCAAATAATCAACAGTTTATACAATAAAGACTTATCAAGACTGCCAACATGAATTCTGAAATAGTGAATCTTTTGAATGTATATGGTGCATATATTTGTGCGATGCTTATTTCTTTTAAAGATATGCAAGTATGAAAGAAAACACACAAAAACAACAACCGTTGAATGCAGAATATATTCAAACATAATCATGTTTGAAAGCAACATGTAGATTAGTTTATTATTCGACGATTGAGGCTTCCGATTCCAAAAGACTTTTTTGGACGCATCAAATTAATAGTTTTAATTTCACTGGTAAAAAACTAAAAAAAATGAGAAATGTCACAGAAGTTTTAGGCAATGAATTCTCTTTTATTGTTGGGTGTGTTACAGATTTTCAATAAAATTGCGTCTTGATTTAAGCATATTTTTTTTAAAGTTGCACTTGGTAAATACAGCTGTTTCACAAACCACGCCTCTTTTGGGGAGATATATAATATTCATAGATATTTTGTTTTGTTTACCTACTGGTTCCCAGATATGATCTCTATGTTTCATCTCATAGAGACATAAATTGGGTATATACCAGAATAAATACACATGGATATCGACAAAATTGATTTCTGAGGAAGACCCAAAGTGAAGGGAGGGGTCGTACCGAATTTTAGTATAAATTTGAACTCTTAGAAGTTCGGGGCATATAAATGTTGAAAATATGCCGCACAGCCCTATGTTTTGAACTTTGAAAAAAATAGTAGTGCATATGAACTTTCCATTCTATGTTATATTTTATTTACGAAACTTCATAGTAAAAATGGCACAGCTTTAGCCGTAAAAGGAGTTCACATGGGAAATTGCATTGTCTATATTTACCGAAGTGTAACCTTAAGGTGTTCTTGTTCATATTTAAAAAAAACTAGTCAAAGATATCAGGCTTACAATTTGGTACACCAGTTATTCGTATTTATGACACTCTTCAGTGTCGTTCAAACAAAACAGTTGGAAAGCCAAATCAAATACGAAGTTGATGAGCACAAATACGATATTTTATTGGGAGAAGTACAAAAGGAAATGTTAATGGTCAGCATAGGATTATGACAAAGCGAAAAAAAATAAGGAAGCATGAAAAAAACGGATTTGAAGAGCATTAAAAGCAAAAATTCTGAAAAGGTTTCCAAATATGGCTGAGACAATCTATAAGAAATACAATAATAAATAAGAGGTTTAATTGCTCTTGGGAAGATATATGTTATTTTATTTTTTAAGTATTGTGTTGATATTGCGACTATCAGATAAGTCTTTTTTTTCTAGTTACATTGAAAATGTTGATGGGTTTAAGTTCACTCCAAGGTCACGAGAAGACTTACCTGCTGGCTTTCCTGAAAATATTCCTGGTGTCTGTTACTTCCTCGATGGATACAATTATCCTGGAGCTTCAAAGGACAAAGATGTTGACCATATCACACTTGCGTTGAAAACATTGCCAATTTGCAATGAAACAAAAACGTAGGATATCAAATAGAAATTATGCAATAGTCAACGGGTAATATAAAACTTTGAATACAATGTTGTGGATCGTAACCGATTGGTGTTTACCCAACGAGTTGTCTGGTGATATTCGATTTGATAGTGTGAATGATTTGTTTTTAATAAAAGCATCGTTTACAAAATTACTGTTTGTTAGAACATGAAATTGTAGGTAGTGTTAAACCAATATTAGATGTGTATATTAAGATTTAAACACCAAAATACTCCTGCCGTAGCTTTAAGTTATTGGCTCCAAAAAGGCAGGGAAAAAAACTACAGTTTAACATAAAAATATTCAAACAGTAAAACAATAAACGTTTAAATGACATCCACACAAAAAGTTAATACCAGAAACGTTTTATACTCCTAAAATCCGTAAATGTGATGAAATGTGAATATGTGAATTTTCTTTTCTTTTTTGTTAATTTAGTTAATTGTGTGATAAATATTTTGTATTCTTTTTATATTATTTATTATTTAAAATATGATATTATAGTTTATAGATTAAAAAATATGAATATAATTTATAAATCATGTTATGTATATTATAGTTTTTATTTAAACTACTTAGTTTATATACTTGTTTGCATTTTGTAAGTTGTAATAGAACAGTCGACAATCATATATGTATACTATTTAAATATATGACACTTTTTAAAGCATATAATAAATTAGTATTTTAAAACATTGTACAATGTATATTATGAAATATTTGTTTGGTTCTCCTTTGCAAACATTCATTTTTATATAAACTGTGAATAACTTTCATACATGTTTATGATTTGCTCGCCAGTCAAAGAGTTTGGGAAAAAGCTGCGAGTTTGTTATACATAAGATTAGTTGAGGGATATTTCAATATCATGGATAGATAGTTCACAGCTCATGTTGCGCTTTTTTTTGTCTTCAACGCTCTTCAACTTCGTACTTTGTTTTGCTTTTTTTTTTTTTAACTTTTTTGATTCGGGCGTCATTGATGAGTCTTTTTTAGACGAAACGCGTGTCTGGCGAACAAAAGTTAAAGTCTGGTTTCTATGATGAGTTTATTTAACAATAAGGATATTTTACCCTTAATTTCATTTTTCGTATTGACTTTTTGAAAAGAATAAAAAAACCTTTGAATATTTAACACGTCTTAATATTTGGTCATTGCATCAAAAAACTTTGTTAATACTTAGTCTTTCTACTCACTTCATTTAATAATTGTTTAACCTGTCGACGCATCTTATCTCGCTCCTTTTGAAGTTCATTCGATTTCCTCAGTTTTTTATGTTTACCTTGATTTTTATCTTCTTAATTGATTTATGAGACTTAAACATCGGTTAACTACTGTTGCCTCTAAACTACTTCCTCCTTTAATTTTAATGTTGAATGATTTTTCTTGCATTTAGGGAATGTCCATTCATCATAATGTGTCTTAAAAGATAGTGTTACACAATTTTTTTTTCCATTTTTTTTAAAGAATATTTATTATACTTTATGATGTCCATTCAAGATTATGTTATGGTCGGTGAACTAAATTATAAAGAAATAACTCTATTTATATTGTTTGTATTTGTCTTCTTAAAAAGAATAAATAACTGACAAAAAGTTACTAATTCAAAGTTATAAGGGGTGAAAAAAGACAATACTCTATTTATTAACCGTAATAACATGTTCATTTTTAGTTTTCAACACTGAATTTGATTAATACAAGAATATATATTTCAAGATTGAATACCTTAAAATCGTATAGCATGAACACTTAGGTACGTATATGTATTTTTCTTTTCTGACCATTATTACGTTTTTTTTGTAATTTATAAAAATAAAGATAAATAATTTCTTCCTGTCTTGATGATGGAGTCAAGGTTTATATGTGTGTCTGTTTGTTTGAAGTCTTAGCAAAAAACGTATGTTACTGTTTGTACTTATATGAGCAACACGACAGATGTCACATATGGAACAGAATCTGCTTGTCCTTCCAGAGTACCCGAGATCACCCCGGTTTTGGAGGGGTTTGTGTTGCTCAGTCTTTTAGTTTTCTCTGTTGTGTTTTGCATACTGTTGTTTGTCTTTTGGTTGTTTTTCGTCTTTTGCCAAGGCGAAAATCCTATTAGTAGTGTCAATAAAGTTACTGAAATATATAAGGAAGGAAAGTTAAATAACTAAATACTGAAATATAGAATCTTCATCTCATTGTGCATTTATAGAGGGTGAGACAAACCCATAAAGGCAAACAGAGAGAAGGAGAAAAATCCTATAATTAGTGTAATTAAAGTTACTGAAATAAAGAAGAAAGGAAAGTTAAATAACAGAATACTGAAATATAGAAGAAAGGTAGTATAGTTTAATCTTCATCTCATTGTACATTTGAAAAACCTGTGGTGAACCCAGGTCTTCCGGAAGGGTAAGACGTTCCTGCTTCAGCTGCCGTCGTGTTGCTCATGCAAGTAAAAGTCCGGTGATAAGTTTCATTCGGTAATATCACATTCGTCGATAAGAGAAGGGGATTTACACATACACCGAATCCTGATAGAGTCCGTAATCCTTCTTCGAAAGGATGTTTTCAACAAGAGAGTACATACAAGGACACCGATATAGAGAAAACACTACTATATTACATTGTAAACGGTCGTTAGAAAACAGAAGTGTCATAAAAGAAATGTAAAATTGTCCCATAGTCATGTGTAGAGCCACAGTCCTTATACCAATGTTAGAAACCAAGGAAACACATAGTATTTATACAATATAGATACTAATAAAGAAACAGATCTTCCTTTACTCTATTGTGTACTAAAGTGGGGTTCGTGTTACTCTGTCTTTAGTTTTCTATGTTGTGTTTTGTGTACTATTGTTTGTCTGTTTGTCTTTTTCTTTTTTTTAGCCATGGCGTTGTTAGTTTATTTTCGAATTATGAGTTTGAATATCCCTTTGTTATCTTTCGCCTCTCTTTTCTAAGTCCTTGTTGATCTTTCCTTTAAATTCTAAACCTAAAGACATATTGAAACAATTACTGAAGCTGTGTTTGATAAAAAAAAAAGAATGACCCACGCAGATAGAAATGTTTTGTGTTTGGAAGGGACAAATTGAAAAACTGCTCCGATTGAGATAAAATGTTCTGTGAAATTGGTATCATCAAGATGATTGAATGACATTTTTTGATATTCTGGATGACGTTTTTGAACTAACTACCGGCTTTCCTGTGATAATCAATTGCTCTCTTTTGTTTGCCTTCTAGTTCGTATAAGATAGATTTCATATAGGAGCTTCTCAAAAAGAACGAAAAGAAACCGACATTATCCTTTAAATTCACGTTCAGCGATATAAATTATGTCTCTCTCTGAATAATTCATCCAAAGTTTGGTGACTTGATCTCATCTACACTTTTAAAAAGTAAAATAACAAAAATACCGAACTCCAAGAAAAATTCAAAACGGAAAGTCCTTTAATTTATCAAATGGCAATATCAAAAGCTCAAACACATCAAACGAATGGAAAACAACTGTCATATTCCTGACTTGGTACAGGCATTTCCTTATGTAGATAATGGTGCATTAAACCTGGTTTTATAGCTAGCTAAACCTCTCACTTGTATGACAGTCATATAGAATTCCATTGTATCGACAACAATGTGTGAGCAAAACAAATAGACATAACAGGTAAAAATGTCAAACATTGGGGTACAGCAGTCAACATTGTGTTATAATCTTAATCACTATAAAATACATTTAAACTCCGGTTTTTTGGTAGGGGTTTTAACTTCTCAATCCTTAGTTTTATGAGAATTATGGACTGCTTTATATGTCTGTTTGTCTGTTTGTCACGGTATTGTCTGTTTGTCTGTTTGTCACGGTATTGTCTGTTTGTCTGTTTGTCACGGTATTGTCTGTTTATCTGTTTGTCACGATATTGTCTGTTTTTCGTCATCCTATGTTTGTTATACTGCCCACTAGCTATCTTCGTCGTCCCTTTCAAAATTATATTTCTGTATCAATTAACTTAAAAATTAGCCGTCTATAGACAATGGAAAGCTATTATGAAATAAATATACAGTACCTGTGGCTATAAATAAATGATGATTTTTTATTTCATAAGAACTCTACTCGTCCTAATTCGTAATGCGAAATCTTAAACGCATTGAACAAATAATCAGTAGAATATATAAAATAGGTGTTATATTCCATAATAAGGAAATTACTTTAAGCGATAGTGTCACAATTTATTGGAAGGCAAAATTAAACTGACACTTGCGTGATGTTTGACTTCAAAGATTATAGCATTTTAAAAGGTACTTTCCCATTTGTTACTATGTACAGAATATGCATTACTTAATAATGACAGAGTATTGTCCAACACGAATAGTAATCATTCAAAATCACTGTGACGACGACTAAATAGAAAATAGAATAGAAAATGGAAAATGGAAACGAGGAGTGTGTCAAAGAGACAACAACCCGACAAAAAAGCAGAAAACAGCCCAAGGCCACCAATGGGTCTTCAACGTAGCGAGAAAATACCGCAGCCGGAGTGGAGCTTCAACCCCTACACAATAATGTATACTAGTTCAGCGAAGTACTTTTCAATAGTACATGTACTAATGATTGAATCTCTGAAATTATAGTTCCGAGTTACTTCATTTCTATCTTTAATACTCGAGTTGGAAGACTATATTGCTACAAACCTTATACTACATAAATATTAAAGATTGATGATAAGAATGGAAGAACTTCGTTGAAAATTAAACCAACTCTACTTTCAAGGTACATGAAGCTGACAGAATATCAGAATCAAGTTAGTATTGAGAAAACGCACTTTAAAGAGATTTAACACCTTGATATTGAAACTGACAGTGAGAATGTTGCAAACGTTACCCATAATAATGATGTACACAAGTTGTGTAAAGAAAACCCAAACAACACAAAAAGACATTCATATGTCACCATAACGTCTTAAGCAATATGCATTTCCATACACCACAAGTCGTTTCAATGAAGCTCTTAATCGCCAAGGTGACATGCAGGTTGTGAATATATTTAATAGACACAATAAACATAACAAGAGACAATTACTGCGCTAAACTTAGGACAGGCACATCATCATGCGTCAGGATGAATTAATTCTGTAAGTACTCTTTTATAAATTCGACATTGATATGACAAAGAAAAACGTACAATACAAATCATAGCTTTACAGTTTTACGAACAAGAAAAGTGCACGAATATGTAATTAAAACAGCACTATATAGTTTATAACGCATAGAAAAAGGGATTATCCCACGTACTGAAAGCAAATACTTAATATGCAGGTATATACAGGTGTAGATAGACATCATGCTTTCTTACACACTAGTATTTTGCCGCTTTATGTTAGAGAACCGAGAATATTTCATTCAGCAACATTACAAACATTTAGAAAACTGCGATATTGTGAAATCGTCCATGTGAATTTCGATATTGAATTCAAAAACAAAACGAAAAGACAACATTTTAGTATAGGGTTTCAAACTGAAGATTAGTTTATTGATTCAAATATGTGTTGTACAACTCTTATAAAAGGGCAGTAAAATGTTGAACTGGAGATATCCTTTTTTATCAAAAATAAGAGATTCTCGGTGTAGAGGTAAATCTAACAAAATAAGATGTGGTATGATTGCCAATGAGACATATCTCCAACAGAGACCAAATGAAGGAGAAGTGAAACACTATAGATCACCGTACGGCCATCGTCAACGAGCAAAATCATAACCGCATAATCAGCTATAAAAGGCCCCGATATGACAAATATAAAACAATTCAAACGAGAAAACTAACGGCCTGATTTATGTACAAAACAATGAACGAAAAACAAATATGATATACAGCAACAAACGACAACCACTGAATTACAGGCTCCTAACTTGGGACATGCACATACAGAATATGGCGGGGTTAAACATGTTTGCGGGCGCCCAACCCTCTCTAACCTGGGGCAGTGGTGTATTAGAACAACATATGAACAAACTATAAAAATTCGTTGTAAAGGGCTTAACTCGTCAGATCGATACAAAGCAGAAAGACAAGTAACAAAGACACAGACCGGACGTGGCAGGGTATTTATACATCCCCACAACATAAAAGACAATAAGTACAGATCTATGAGTACTCGCAATTACTGACAGCTAGTTAAAGCCAAAAAACAATTGATAAAAATATGTATGTGTTACAGGCATTTCTATTTTTTTCATTTTGTAAAATGACTTGAATGTTTAAACGAAATTCAACAAATTGCCTATTCAGTTTCATGTAATTTTTGGAAAAAGGAGTATCATTGAGATATGACCAAAAACACAATATATTGTAAAAAAAGAAGAGAAAAAGAAGGATGTTGTTTGATTGACTGATTGTTGTTTGTTTGCGTTCAGTGGTAAATATTTTATGCTTATTTAGGACGAGAACAAATTAATAATAAATCAAATAAGTAAGTTCTACAATGGATTGATCGGATAAGGGACAAGAATTTTGACTGATGCTTGAAGAGAAGGTATATGTTGGTTAGGGACAGATGTTACCTACCAACAGGCCACCTTTGAAGAGGAATTCTTAACGTTTTGAGAGCGTGGCACTTTTAGTACACAATGTATCATATGTAATGTTCCCATTCAGAAATAATGCAAATTTATACATGCTGCACAGCAAAAATAATTCCCCTCTTAAGCATTGGATTCCCCATACAAGGTCGTGTTTGGTTGTGAAGTAAAACTCTGATAACCCAAAAGATGCAAGTCAATCTTATCACGCTAATAATGCTTCGAATCTTTTGGAAACACATGAAAAGAAGATATTCATGCGTGTCCTGTTTGCGAAACCACATGTTTTTCAAACGTTAAAATGTTGA